TCAAGTCTAGGATTGCAGCGTGAGAGCCAGCATTTTGGAAAGTGACCTTTTTATGTTCAGTACAAAGCAGTTCTCCAGCTTCTTAATGTTACGGGGCTGATATCCCAGTGTTGCGAATTATATGCACTGAAGTGTCAGCTCGTCTCAATTTGTGGCGCTTTCTCTTACCTCTGGATCAGAAGGTTGTTATTTCAAGCCGCGAATCAGGATATTGACCTCACAGTCTAAGCTAATATTCCAGAGCAGTGCATTGTTAGAGGTACCATCATTCAGAGAAGAAATTAAACCGAGGTTCTGACAACCTATTCAGATGAAAGTTTAAAAATCCCATGACAATATTCAAAAATAAAAGAGTTTTTCCCAGCGACAAGTCCAACGATCCTCCAGATTAATTGGTCTTTCACTTCATGCTATGACTTTGCTGAATGCAAATTGGCTGCTGCTTTACCTACAAAAAGTGCTTTTATTGCCTGTAAAAGCAATCTGAGACTTTTTGATGCATTTGATCTGGCAACTATGACAAATAATAAAATACTAATTGCTACACAGTAGGCTAGTTTAAAATCCAATCCCCAAAAACTTATCTTATAATACAGGTAGTTTTTACAGCAGCTGTGTGTGAAATAAATGTGTAGTATATCAAAAGGAGGCAATGTGCTTTTTACAGTTGCTTCAAAACCACATGTGCTGCTTGGTATTTCTGTAAGTTATTTCATCAATTGAGGCGTTCCTTCATGACTTGGTGGGATATGCATCGTCTGGTGGATGAACTGCAATGAATAAAATAATAATACTTTCATTTGATTTTTGTAAATCCTTTGAGCTGCAAAGATTTACGGGAAAGTGTAGAGCCTGTGCAGTTGTAGGTGAACATGGCAGCTAAAATGGCACACAGCAATGTCTACAAACAGCCATTAAGTGAATAGCCACTTTTTCATGGGTGGGGGGGGGGGAAGAATTGCTGGCCAGGGCTTGAAGAAAAACTTCCTTGTTTTCGAGTAGAGCTGAGGCATTTTGAACATTCACCTGAATAGGAGGACAGGATCTCTGTCTAACATCTCATCAGAAGGATCCCCTGCTTTGCAGAGCACCTATAGCACTGAATTTGAAGTATCAGCCTGGACTATATGACTTCAAAGTCCTGACATGGGGCTTGAACCCATAGCTTGCTGACTCAGGTGAGAGTGCTGCCAACTGAGACAGGCCTTTTCACTAATTAACCATAGGGACAACCTGCTCCAAGGATTTTGCCAAAGCTGTTCACAATATCCTGCCTTCACACCCCAAACCCGTTTTGTCAAGGATGTTTCCTTGCACAAAGTGCCCTCTAGACTATGGAAAAGTGCCTGGGTTCTGTTGAGCAGTTTCCCAGAGGCATGGAGTCTGGTATAGAGAATTGCTCTTGTTGATTTTGGTAAAGTGGACTGAGGATGTTTAATGGGTTGAGCCACCTAATTCTCACAACCATTACAGTCACCAGCTTTCAGGGGAATAGCAAGTTTTGTTTTTCCCCCACCAAAAAAATCACAATAACATTTTCAGACTTGTGAGACTCTGGCTTTTATCACATTTATTTTTTCTGTTTTGCACACATAAGCACACACACACTTTATATTTGAAGAGGCCCCATTTACTTTTTGTCAGTCTAACTTTGACGCAGAACTGCCTATTTCACTTAAGAAAAGTCCACAAGCTGGCTGAAAGATCTCACTGAACTCCTTGATGCACTCTTTGTAGGAACTCCCGAGACCTTTACTGCTTTTCAAAATGTGGTGAAATTCACATCTTACAGCATCCCTAAGGAAACTTTCTTTGAGAAAGAAAAGAAAGGTGTCCAGATCCAAACTATCAGCACTTATTTTTTTCTGACTTGCAAGGGTAAATTTCTATTCACAAATGTCATTATTTATAAGAACAAAGTGAGCCTGTCAGCATGAAATGTGGGATAAATCCATTCATTTGTATTGGTTTACTGTGGGAGCTGGAGCTGCTGCTCAGCCCTTGGAACTAAATTCCCAGTTGTTAAACTGTGATCTGTCACAGAATTAGTTGAAAGCCCCACATCACATTGAAAGTGTACTTCTGTGCTGAATAAGTTAACTAACTCTTGATGGAGCACTTCAGCTGCCCCCTAGGCTACAGCAAAGGAAAATGGACCAGCAATTGTGTGTCAGCATGGCTCATTGGTAGCTCTCTTGTCTCTGAGTCAGAAGGTTGTGGGTTCAAGCCCCACATCGGGACTTGGAATCGTATAGTCTAATGCAGTGGAGGTTTCATTGTTGGAGATGCTATCCTTTGGATCAGATATTAAACTGAGTTATTGTCTGCCTGTCTCAGAGAGCTTTACAGAATCTAAAACAGCAGATAAAATGCTTGGGCAGGGGTGAGCTTGGTCAGTGCTAGTCGTTCTAAATTCTGTCAGGTAGCCAGGTGAGCATCTTCATTCCTTAGATAAGCACTGTTACGTGACCAATCTATTGTTTCGCCCCATTTAGTTGGCGCTATTTTGGAAAAGGATGAGAGGACATCTTAAGGATGTTTACGTTTGCCGAGAGTTTTCTCATTCTTTGCGTTGTGGTTTATCTTCCGACAATCTCACTTGCAGCCTTTTGATTTGGACTAGCTTGTTCTCTTTCACTTTGTAACCAGAGCTGGAAAGCTTCGGTTGAAAGGAATCGAGGGTTGGTTTGTCAGCAGGGCTTTTATGTGGCACACAAATGGAAGTGATCTCGTGACTTTTGGAGCTTGAATCTCCTGAGAAGCGTGATATCAGTTATTTCAACCAACTAGATAATGAACCTAACACAATCTGTAGATGATGAACTACATTCAAGGATAGAAAGATGAGGGCATTTATAATGTCATCAGTGGTGTTTTATGAGGGGATTAGTTTCCTATTTTCTTTAGATGGCATGAGTTTAGACTTTTCTGAAATACATTTTTTAAAAGTGCAAGTGTCTGGGCTGACATTCTAATGCAGTGCTGGGGTTTCAATGTACTGCTGGAGGTGCATTCCTTGAAATGAAACATTAAGCCAAGGTCCGGTCGGCCTAATCAGGTGAATGCTAAAGACCCCATGGTGCTACTCGAAAAGGGAAGGAAGTTTCTCCTGACCAACAATTCCCTTAGATGAAATTGGTCATTTACTTCATGGCTATTTTATTGGTTGAGGCTGTGCACAAATTGTATTTGCCTATGAAATACACTACGTTTTACAGTAAATTCTGTTTAAGATCTCCTCCTTCCTCTCCAACATCAAATACAAATCTAATTTATTACATAAGCCATGGTTGCCATTCTACAAGTTGGCTTTGGAGTCTTTTGACACTTGATGGATTTGTTCTGTGACTTGAAAATGGCTCAGAGTAGCACTTGCGAGTTTTACACTTGTATAAGAACCACATGGGAGATTATAAAACTTGGCTGCTTTTTCTTCTGGGCCCAACCATTAAAGTTCATCAGAGCACTAACGTCTATTTTTATCCATAAAATAAAAACTTAGATATCTTTCAGGTATATTTGGGGTTCAGAAAAGGAGGAAAAAATTTTAATGAGCAAAAAATTCAATGAAAAATTGGTTTTAAAAAGATGTTACTGATGTCTATATTTTTGCCTATAATAAAAGTACTCAGAAATTACAACATTTTTCACAGTACAACTGCAAATAAGCTGTTTTACCTTCCGATGACTAGCAATGTTTCACCCACAAAGTATATAGTCAATTAATTTTACAGTATATTCTGTGAAGTACTTTGAGACATCTCAAAGGCATTATAAGGCGCTATATCAAATACAAGGATTATTATCAAGAGATCTTATCACTGAATAACCCAATTGGAAACCAAGCACACTTTGTGAAGGATATTGCGTATGTGCAGCATTGCTCTAAGGCCAACTAAATACACAGTTGCAGGGTTCTGAGTTCATGAGATTTGCACATCAATTGACTGAACTGTGATGCACTTACATCTTGCTTGGAAGTTATTCACAAAATTTGAAATTGCATCTTTCACATTGGGAGGCCGTTTCAGAGCGCTTCACAGCATTTATTGTAAAATGTAGTGACTGTACATTTTGTAGGTGAACATGGCAATAAATTTGCGGATAGCAATGGTCTGAAAAACAGCAATCACCAAGAATGACCAATTTTATATCTGTGGAGATTGTTGGCTTGGGCACGAGGAGAAACTCCCTTTTTTTTAGAATAGTGAAATAGAGTGTTTAACATCCACCTGAATAGGCAGTGTACCTCTGTTTAGTGTTTCATCAGAAGGACGGTATGTCCCAACAATGCAATGGAGACTCATCTAGCACTGTATTGGAGTGTCAGCGTAGACTGTGAGTTTAAAGTTCCGACGTGGGATTGGACACACAACCTTTTGAATCCAGTGAAAGAGGGATACTAACTGAGCCAGGCTGTTACTAACATGAAATTTGAGAAAAAGCCCCAATGGAATAGAAAGTCGATATTTTTTCAGAAAAAGTTTTATGCAAAAAATCCATATTTTTATGGCGAAAATTGACTTCTGGTTCCCAACAAATGATAACCTAAAATAGATTATACTATTGAGATATTCTTTGTCTAGATTTCAGCAAAAATGGACATTCAGCCTACCTTTGTCAAGGAAGTGGTGTGTTAACATAGCTGTGTTAACTATTTGTGATTTTGATTTTTCTTTTAAACTATATTTCTATGGGATATTTTTGCATTTAAAGATCTAAAAAAAATAATTTTACACATGTTTGAAAATAGGAGATTTGGGGGTCATTAGATTTGCATCCACAGCGACTTGTTGATTTATGTGGGTTGATTTTATTAAAAGGGCACTGGCTGTTACTTGTGGTGTGTTCTGGTTCTGAAGTCCTTTGGCAGATTGAAGACTTTTAAGATTAAATGTGAACCATTAGTAAGATTTTTTTTCTTCTGGCGAGAAGTCTGTGCTGCTAGAGTTTCATGGTTTGGCTCCAGTCAATAATGTTCTCTTCTGTGTGGCCCACAGGCACGGAACCCGGTGTGCAGGAGAGGTGGCAGCTGTGGCAAACAATTCGCACTGCACAATAGGAGTTGCTTACAATGCCAAGATTGGAGGTATGTGAATGTTTCTTTAGCTTTAGATAAATAGCTTTCCATGCCCGGTTGTTGGGCCATTTTAGTAACTCGTAACTTTGCCTATGGAATGTGTATTTATTGGTAAAATTAGATGAAAGGTGAAGGAAGGAGATAATGACTTTCAAATACTAAATTGAGACCAAGATTTATATAGCACAATCCTGATCAATGAGTGAAACCGCTTATTTATTTTGACTGCTAAGCGGCTGAGTTACGTTGACTGCTTGAGCACTCTGAGACACCAGCCCGCGTGAAGGGTGTATATAAAAGCAAGTTGTTGTTGGCAGTTTCCGTTCTCCACAGCTGTCTTTATTCTATCTCGACAACTTCTTATAATTGTATGAATTGATCAACCTTGTCTTTGGATGATTGGGAAATGTCACTGGTGCTGTTCTGGGCTTTAAAGGAAAATTGAAGCCAACTTCTCTTAGTTGCACAGAACAAGAACTCTCTACAAGTGAGCTTTCAGCCTCTAACTCAATTGCATCTTGACCTACAGTGAACATGCAACAACTGCATTTGCCCAATTTCCTACACAATAGTGAATTACATTTTGCCACGGATCAAACAGAAGTTTCCTACAAAGGAATCATAGTGTGTAGTTACATAATCTGGTATTGTGAATGGGAAACTTTTTGAGGACAGCTTCCCTACAACTGAATCATAATATGTAGTTACATAATCTGGTATTGTGAATGGGAAACTTTTTGAGGACAGCAATTTCTTGTCGCATTAAGAACTTTGTCCCAAAATTTAATGTTTTACAGAATTCTTAAATTCATTCTTAATTTGGAAGCAGCTGTAGAATAATGTATTCTGAGTCTGAATTTAAGAATTTTCCAAACTTATCCATGCTTATGAATTTAAGACCAATTGTTTTAAAGCTGTAGACCAAGTTGAATCTTCACATTGCATTTCTGCAAATGACATTACCTCCCAGATAGTCATCCTATTTATGTAGGAACTTGGAGCAGGTTTACTGTCGCCTGTTTTTTGAAAAAAAATAAACTTCAGCATCAGTGATTGCCAATCGGGCATTAAGCCAGAGCCATCAACCCATTATTTTGGAATTGAGGCAGTTTCAGATTTCCCCCAACTGTAGCTTGACCATTTAATGTACACAAAATTGAATAATGACTTTAAAATTATGAAATAATAATCCTTACATTTGATATAGAGCCTTATCACATTGTTGTGACGTCTCAAAGAGGCTGGGGGGATATCTAATAACCTACCACTGGTGTTGGACTGTAATTATGGTCATGAAACAAGAGTTCTTTTCTGTGAATTCATCACTGTTTTTTCTACTGGGAAAAAACACAATAAAAACATTCTGTTCTTCACAAAAAGTGTAGTTTGCAAACCCACAAAACTTATAAATTACAGATGCACCTGATACTGTAGAATAGGTCATGCGTGTCGGATTGGCAGATCTGGAGAAATTATCAACAAAAGACAAGTGCGCAGCGATGGTCCCAGGCTTTTCCTGGTATTTCATTACTCAGGCAATTCACTGGTATTGCTTTCTTACAGGTGCACCATTGGCTCCTGCACTCTGTGCAGATGAAATGATGTAAATGCTGCAAACCAGATGGTGACATAATGTTCAGTTGATTCTGTACTACTGTTCCTGCTTTAACACTGAATTTAATCAGTTGTTGTATGTCTAAGTGCAAATATCGCACCTCATTTCCATCAGTCCCCAGAATCTCATAGTTCTGATTCAGTCCATCATACCAGATGCAAATGTTGGAATTTCAAGTAATTCCAATTTTTTTTAAAAAAGAGAGTCTGTGTCAGCTTCACATAGATTGCACAATGCTGTTTACCGTTCCATGCTAATGATGGCATAATTGTCCAGCCTGGAGTGCATTGCACAATCAGGAATGTAAAGTGATTTAGAGTGTAGGTATATTGCACCCAGGTGCTTGCATACCCAGATTAAGCCAGTTCTGCCCTTGGCCAGGTTGGGAACGTTATTCTGTGCAAACTGGTTTATGCCAATAAAGATTTGTCTGTGTTGACGATAAGCAGTAAAACTGGGTTCTGATTTTTATTAATCAACTTAGAAACAATTCCTATAATGTTTTCAATATTAATCAACCTCAATTATATGACATCTCCACCCACTCCAATTTTCAATTATATATGGGGGAGAAAGATAAAAAAGAAAGCTCATTAATTATAGAGCCCTCATAAACACATTTTTAGCATTTTAAACCATGATAACAGTACATAAGTGTAACCGTGATGCCATAGCTGTCATTACATCAGTGTCAGCTTTGCTCTTTGAACTTTCAGACTTCTTTTTTTCTCTCTCTTTCTCTCTCTTGGAGTCTAAGTTTCTATCTGTTTTTATGCTTTTCTCCATCTGTCTGATCCTCCCATTCAGATAAATTGATCATTGATCATGGTTGTTTGTGAGACATTTCTTTGTGCAAATTGGCTGCTGCGTTTGTTTACAAATACCATCACTTACTTTAAACACTGTGAAGCTCTTTGAGATTCTTTGATGACACTATAAGATGCTATATTAAATGCAAGAATCATTATTTTCTTTGTTTGCCAACACCTACTTTTGTACTACCCAATGTGCTTGAGAATTGTGCACATGGGCAATATTGCTACACCTGCATTTGACCTACATTATGAGGGGAAATTGTATCATTTATTAACCCTGTGCATGTGCATAACTTGAGTTGTCAGTGTCTCTCAGCCCTGTCACATTCTACTGGTTTTGGTTCAGTTTTTGAATATCAGGCAGGGAGTAATGCCAAAGCTTTAATTGAGGAACAATAATCTCACCTTACATGTGAAACAGTGGTATATAAGCTTATGTTTTTAAAGCCTTAACTTGTTCGTATCCGATGAGTAAATTCATCTCGTTTGCAAAAACATGAAATGCGTAATTGCATTACAACAGAATTCTTGTGGTCGGCTGTTGGTGTTTCAGAACCCCTGGTATGTTCTTGTAGGTGAGAACCTGAGTTCTGAGAAGCTTGATTGTCTCTGCTGTATTGTCCATTTTGGGCCGTGTGGAAATAAAATGGTATACTTTCATGTTCTGGTTTATGGATTGATTTTTATCAGCAAGAATCAGCCATTTAGATTATCAGAATTGTTTTGAATGGTAGGACTTTTTATTAAACATGAAGGTCAATGAGCAAGGTACAGATCTAATGATAATGAGTGGAAAGTTGTAGATGTAAATATGTGTATTATACACCATGCAAGCAATGATTGTGGCACAGTGCCGAGCTGAATGCTGAAATCGTGATTCAAGATCATTGTTGTTGCCTGATCAACTGCCTTTGGATGAGGTGTTCAGATGAGGCATTTAGATAATCAACTCAGCTTACTGTATGAACATCTATAGGTGCAGCTTACGTGAGTGGGAGTTAAGAATTTGCTATTTGAGCAACAATGGCTGCAGAGATTTGGAGCGGCTAACACTGATGTTTGTTTTCCATTCTGAAACACTCCCGTATAGGACTGGGTGTAATTTCAAACTGAACGGTGTTGATTTTAAACCACTGACGTAGGTTTCAGTTGATGTTATATGATTTCCTTAGGTGGGAACTTGGGCACAGCCCCAAGACCTGACAGAGTTTATTCTCCATGCCTAAAATCATTGAATGTCAGTCATTATTTCCTTATTGTCATTTGTTGTAAATTAACTCCTGGTTGCAAAATATGCCACATGTTCCTGACACTCTTTTTTAATGCTAATTTTAATGCTAATTTACTTGCAAGTTTCAAAAGAACTCCCATCAATCGCTGAAACTAAAGAAAGAGCAGGCTGATTATTTGGAAGCTTGTTTGGATATAAAGGACAACTCATGAAACGTTCATTGAATCTCGTGAGTTTAATTCCAAAGTACCCAATCGTGTGAGGAGTTGTTTGCATCTTAACTGTGATCAGTTGGAGTTTTTGTGGATTACGTTCAAGCTCTGAGGACAGTTCAGCCCTGGTCAAGGGAACTTTATACTTTATATTTGCAATGCTGAAGCTCTCCTTGATGGATGTTAATTAGTCCTCTCGTTCAGTGTTTCAGTGGCACTGCACCATTCCCCACTTCTTGTGGTGATTGAAGTTTGTTTTATCTGCCAGCAAAAATAAAGTGACACAAACTGTGATCGACGCTCCACGTTTCACTGCACTGAGGTGTCTTGAGACTGAGCTGCCTATCCTAATTTGCACAGTAGTTATTTAATAGCTTTAATCCTGGGCAACAAAGCCTGGGGGTATTGTATGCTGAAGAGCAGAGAATATGTGATCACTGAAGAGCAAGCTCCACAATGATCATATTGGCTTCTTGGTGGGAGAATTGGATTCATATGTTGTAAAATGGAAGAAATTCAGCAAACTAGTGTTAAAGCAACCTCTACACTTCACTGTAAATCCTGTAAATTACTGCTTTATGACATGTTGATGGTACTCCCGTGCATGAAGAACTACAGATAATTTGATGTTCTTTTCTGCAAGGAACACTGTCAGCTCAGCCTCTTTGTCATTTATTTCAGTGCCTGAGTTCCAAATGTATAGTCTTTTTTAAATGCATATGGTGCATTTTGTTCAAATAAATTCAAAAGTCATATTTTTATAACCTTCCCTGTGATGTGTTTGTTTGAAACATCAATAGGTGTCCGCATGCTGGACGGAGATGTCACAGATATGGTGGAAGCAAAGTCTCTGAGTCTGCATCCTCAGCACATCGATATCTACAGTGCCAGTTGGGGACCAGATGATGATGGGAAAACTGTGGATGGACCAGCTTCCCTTGCGAGACAGGCCTTTGAGAATGGCATCCGAATGGTGAGTCACCAAGTGCTGTCAACTGACTGGCCGAGTGCCAGCATCCCTGCCTACTTGCTCTGGCTAACTGAGCTAATGCACAACCTTTGTGCTCTGCTTGCTTGCCCACTGACCCCCACCACCCCGATGCTCTACTTCAACTCTTACTCCTGACCAAAAACACTTCCTCCCATCTCCACAACATTGGCCACTTGCATCCTTTTTATCTCATCGCGCTCCCCCCCCCCCCTTCGCGCTGAAACCTTAATTCTTGCCTTTTTCAAATGCATCAAATATCAAATGCAAGGATTATTTTTCTCGCCTCATTGGTGGACTTTCCGTTGCTCTTCTTGACAGCCTCTTAAAACTCTGCAGCCTGAATTCTCTGGCCATCAGATTCCACTTAACCATTACCTGCAACCTTGCCAGGGTCCACTCGCTTCCAGTTCCCCACTGAAGTGACCTTATGATCCTTTGTCCTTAAAATTCCTTTGTGGTCTTTCCCCTGCTTAACTTTGCAATCTCATGCAGGAATATTATCTGAACTGTATCCCCCCACCCTTTAGATACTCATTTATTGCTCAGAACACATTCCTTCCTTTCTAACATCGGTGGATGAGTTTTTAGCCACTATGTTCTGCTATCTGAAATTCTTTCCCCAAAAAACCTTTGAATTACACTTCCTCTCTCTGCCTACAAATCCCTCTTTAAATACCTCTCTTTGACCATGCCTCCGGCCAATAGCCTTAAATTCAACCCCGCCCATCCCCATTTGATGTTCCTCATTTATACAAATAGCTTTGCGATGTTCATCCTCCGTGAAAGGTGCTATCTAAATGCAAGTCGTTGTTGAATCCCGCAGTAGTTCTGTTGAATTGTCTGGCTTGCCTGGTTGGCAGTATGCTGGCATTTTTCCCCCTCTTTTTCTATGTTTCTCTTTATTCTCTCTCTCTTCTCTCCTCTCTCTCTGAACTGTTGTGTGGCTGTGCTGTGAAGGTTGGCGTGAGGCCAGTGCTTTGATGGACATTAATGATCAGATGTTGTATGCTTGAGCTGCTGGGGTGTGCTCAGCGTGGTGCCCCTTACATTTTATCACCCACTTTCATCTTCTTTGCTTGACTGCTTTCACAGTAGATTCAGTTTGTCAGTGGCACAAACGTGTTCTTGCAAACAGAAGCCTCCAAGGGGGGAGGAGGAGGTACTGGAATCGCTTTACATTTTTGTTTCAAGGTGGTTTACCTCCTCATGGTAACATTATTGTTTATTTTGAAAAAAATACAAGGGAATGGTCTGTCTACTGCTCAAAATACAGCTGACAATTTAATCAATTTCCATGAGAACTTAATTAGGCTTGTAGGCTTGGATGTTATGAACAGTAGGAGTTTTGAATGAAATTTGAGGATGTGGGTTCACTATGCCCTCCACCCTCCCTCTGTGAATTTCCCCCACACAGTGAATTTCCATTCTCAGCTGGGCCTTGGAGAGGGGAGGGGCAAGCCCAAATCCAAAATCGTTCCAAGCGCTTTCCCATGGGAAAGGAAATCCCTTGCATGGTCATTCTGCAGTGCTTCTGGAAACCTCCTGAGTGGTCTGTTGGAACGACTGAGACAGGAGAATCGTTGTCCGCTTGCACCAGCAGGGAATCTGTTTTCTCTTTGTACACGTGTGCTTACCCAACACTCTGCATTTCATTAAAGCGGCGACCTTCAAACCACTGTTGCAATGTTCAGGAACTTGCAATGGCTGATTCCTTTAAAAGTACTGGGTGAGGGGGTACTGATGGTGAAGAGTAGCAGATAATCTACATTCTTGGCACTACCTTTTTTTGGGGGTGGGAGGGCGGGGAGGGACAGTACTGTGAGGGGGGGAAAAAAGTATGTGACTGATAATTCTTTGTGGTGTGGGGATTATGCCAGGTTTAAAAACTCAATTTTGAACCAAATCTTGTTGCCAACCTTGATGAGCCCTTTGTAACGCCACAAATAGGGAGGGGTATAAATTTGTGGTCAATGGGTTTATCACATTGAATAGGACAGAAGATGATTTATTCTTGAAAATCCCACCCGCAGTTCCATGTCATTGTTAACAGTAAAGTTGGAGAAATCACGGTCTTGGACTAATGCTAACGGGATCCCAGCATTTCTAAACAGCTGATTCTGGCAGTCAAAGGTCACAAGCTGGATGCCTGGTGTGGGTGTTGTTTGTGTGTGTGGGGGGGGTTGGGGGGTAAGGGGGGAATGTATGCTTCCATTCCTTTTTTGTGCGATAAATATCCGACCACAAACTTGAGCTGATGACTTGCAGAAGTTATAAATATATTGCAAGAATAATGAAGATAGACTTGATGGCTTTCCTTGACAATAAACTGAACAAGATCACTAGCAATCTTACGCAAATTTAAACTGTTTCAGCCAAAATTTTGAAATAAAAAATGTTTAATTTCAAAATGTCTTTTTATTTTGTAGAATGTGGTGAGTGAGTGGATATAAAATGTATATTGTATGTTTTTACATACATGTCATTTTTGGAAAATGTTAGTGTATTGAGGGAGATGTAAATTCCTTTCAAGCACTTAGGGTAAAGAGACTGTTACTCGCAGTTTTAGAGCCAGTAAAGTGTCGAGACTTGTCGAAGAAACACAATGAAACACTACATCTACTTCTGTCCTATTCGGTGTGATAAATTGAGGTGTGTCGTGCTGGCTCAGTAGCACTCTTGCCTCTGAGTCAGAAGATTGAGCGTTCACGCCTCACATAGAGACTCAAACTCACATTGTCTAAGCTGACACTCCAATATAGTCCCGAGGGTGTGTGTGACATTGTTGGATGAGACGTTCAACCGTCTGCTTGTTCAGGTGAACGTTAAAAGTCTCATGGCACTATTCGAAAAGAAGAGTTTCTTCCAGTGTCCCAGCCAACAACCTTCAAATAAAATTGGTCATTCATTTCATAGCTGTTTGTGGGACATTGCTGTGCATAAATTAGCTTTTGTGTTTGCTAATAAACACAGTGACCACACTTTAGAGTAAATCCTATGAAGCACTTTGGCAAGTTCTGTTGATGTGAAAGACTCTACATCAGATGCTATTTTATTACTATCAGTGTCCTATTTGCACTGCTGGAAGTGAAGCAGTGTTGGTTTTATCAGTAACACAAGTACAACAACAACTTGGATTTGTATAGCGCCCTCTACGCCAGACGGTAACTAAGAGCTCTTCACAAAAACGATCCCCGGGCCGAGCCAGGGGGAAGGGGAGTAGATGAGAAGTCCTAATTCTGTACACTACCTACTCCCCATTGTTTGCACAAGAATCCAATATTGGATGCTCAGAACATTTTAAATCTTTATATTAAGTAAGATTATGCAGGCTTTCTCCCAAAGGTTGCTTTACCTGAAATTGTTTGCCAAAAGAGGGTAGGATCTTTTTATTAAATTACAAACATAACTGAATGCTCAGTTGAATCCAGTTAGCTTATGTTTTACAGCCATGTCATTCACACACCAGCCCCTTAAGCAGGTTTCAGCTATGTCGATATCTGAGCAATTATTATTCTATATGTAAATCATTAGGTCAAGAAAATCGTGGGCCCCGATTCTCAAAACTTTTGCTGAAGTTTTCTTTTTTGAAAAAAAATGTGGAATGTTTGCTGAGAAACTGCACGATGCAAAAAGGCTCTATTATGGTTGAGCATAAAGTTTGCAGAGAGAGAGGAAGTTTTGGCAGGATACCCAGTGGGAGGTGGAAGTTGGAGTTTAATTTGTACAGTAGTATTTTTTCTAAGTAACTGAGCTCTTCCATGCTGCTGGGAGGCACTGTGCAGGGAACACAGAGGTGGGCTCTTGCTCAGTACACTTTCTCCAATGACGTGCAGCAGAGATCAGGATTCTGTCACATGGGAGTAATCAAAAACACAGATCTAGGTCTGATTAAAAAGTGTTATGGGACAATTAATTTGCTTGCTAGCACCATTTTTTAAAAAAATAAAATAATTGGAAAGCTTGTAATAATTCTACTAATGTTTCATTTTAACCCATCACTGGAAACCATAGAGTCCTAGCCTTTAACATATTGCACTTACTTTGCAGGCTTTCACTGCATGGGTTTCCTGTTTTAAAGATTTGGATTATTTAAAATTGTTCACGGCTGTTTCTGAGACATTGCTCTGCACAAATTGGCTGCCGTGTTCACCTATGAAATACACAGCCACTAGACTTTACAAAAAACGGTTGAGCGGTTTTCATAAATTTTGATGTTACAAGTGCTATGCCTGCTGAGCATTGTGCAGCAAGTATGGGACTACAGTTTCATCGGTGGCAGTGGCAGATTATACTGTGATATATCAATTCTGACTTCTATACTAACTGCAAGTTGCTTGCCCTTTGAGCCTTTTGGAGGGGGACGTCTATGTGTGGAAAGCCAGAGATACTTTCTGACATGAAAAGTGCTTATAGCCCATGTCAGTGTCAGAGTGCAAACATTTGTCAACAGATAGAATGGAAAATCCATTGGAAAACTCAGTGAACTAAAGATTTGTTTTAACACGTTTTTCTAGGTTTTGATGTCTGAAAGCTGTACACACAGCTATGAATATTGCAGTTAATTGAGGCAACCTAAGTTAGCTAGTTTATGCATTAATATCTCTAACTTGGGCCTAGAAAAGGGTTAATGTTACTGCAATACCTGCAGCTCGAAGCAATTTCTTTACCAAAGAGCTGACACACTTAAGTTGACGAAAAATAATTACCTTAAAGATGTTGTTTCGCGAACGTCTGCAATATAACGCAAGTGCCAAATGGAATTTGGTTTGATTCATTGAAGAGCAGTGCCCTGGAAGCCAGAGGCTCATGGGCTGAGTGTAGCTCACACTAAGGTGCCAGCACTTTATGGGGTTTGCAACAGGGCTCCATAATTTCCTGTGCATGACTGAGGCTATTGAAGAAAAAGTGGGGGCAGTCTAGTGAGAGGCCGAGTTAGCGTAGAAAGCAAGAAAACCAGAACGCTAATCAAATGCTGGGCAGAA